TGGCGCCACAACACCAACAGGAGGAATCATGGCGAAGTAGCGCGTACTCGTACTCGGGGCCGCACGCGCTGTAGCACGCCCGGGCTGCGCGCAACTGTGTGACATTATAAGCTGTGTTTGCTATCATTAGCGTGGAGGATATGTACGGTTTTTCCCCGCGAGGGCGGGTTTGGGCTGCGGCGGTCGGACACTTCGCTCGTTCGCTTTATTTATTTTGCTGCTTGTATCGCACTGCTTTCGGTCGTTTACCTACAGCTCTCTGGCCTCGGACATCGTCCGGGGCTGGAACACCATGCGCGTTACGTCTCGCTTCGCGCTCTTTCTGTCCTTTCCGCGGATGGTGGCTCCCTTACTTAGGATATTAGAAGTAGAACATCGTTAACTTGACTTATTGTTCATAATGATAACCCGATCATGACATCCAAGCACTGGCGTTCGACTGGAGGGATAGGCGGATGAAGTATAAAATTGGAGCAGTCCTCTTCTCATGCCCCCACCGTAACCCGTCACCCTTGCTCTCATGGATCCACATACCCTTCACCGGCATGGGACGCCATGTCGTACACAAATTTTCTTCTAATCTCCGTCTTGTATCTGGCAACATGATGGTGATGCAACTGTTCCCTGCAAATTCTTAAGGGTCCCACTGTACTGCCTACCAAAGGCGTCTCGATAGAACACGCCGTGTTCAACGAATAAGGGGCTACACCGTGATAATCGTGCGGTATGTCTCCAGCGCCAGCTCCGGACCATCCCAGTGGATCTGCAAAGCAAGATATCAAGAACATGTAAGGTGACTGCAAATACCATGTAGCAGAGCCCAGAGGACTCACGAAGTGATTCGCACCCTCGACCATCTTGAAATCGATGAAGCCGCCTCCGCATGCCTTATCGTCGTCCTGCATGGCCCAGTACGCGGGCAGCGTAAACACGCACGTCGCGTCCCCCGTGAATGCACATATCTTCATCCGCGGGAGCCGCGCACGGACGCCCGTGTCGAAGCACGCCCTCTTGTAGCTCGCGCTGATATGCGCGGCCGAGAACACCATGAAGAGCATGTCCGATCCAGACCCGGGCGGCATGTGCACAATTCTAGCGAGCTGCTCCTCGGACATGCTGAAGATCGAGGGTGCATGCGAAGTCGCGGGGACGACGTAGGAGAGCACGTCGAGGGAGCGCATCGAGAGGTCACCGTGCTTGAAGTAGGAGGTGATCCACTGTGTGAAGAATGGGTCGCGGAGCTCCGCGGGGATGCTCTGGTCTATCTGGGGAGACCAGACCTTCGGAGGGAGGGGCGAGCCAATCGCTACTGTTGGCGGCTCTGTATCGTTTCAGTCAATTACGCCAACAGGGCGACGGGGACTGTGACGCACCATGCAGTATCAGTGCCCGCATACCGGATGCCCAACGGGCCTGGGCAGCGGAGGGCAGGGAGTCGACGTTTGCGACGGCCGACAGAGCGATCGCATTGCCGAGGGACCAGCCTAGGAGCGCGAACCCCCCCGTATGTCCGTCTGCGGAAATGGGTGGCACCTTGTTGCGCTCGACGAAGAGATCGATGAATGTCCCAATCTCAACGCCTCGTGCCTTGAGGAATGCGGCCTTCTGCTCGTCGCTTCCAGAGGCTAAGATGTCCGTGTCCTCTGGGGTGAGTGGGGTGGAGCCTGGGTAGTCGCGGCGATTCACGGCGACGAAGCGAATATTGGAGCCCTGTGCGAGAGCCATCACCTTTTCAAATATGGCTAGAGGCTCGTGAGTACCACGGCCACGATAGACGTCGGGCTTAGACACTCACGACTGGTGAATACCGTCCCGTGCACTGCGAAAATGGTCGTGTATCCTTCCGTGGCCTGTTGAGGAACTCCGCTGTCAATGTAGGAGAGCTTCGTACCCTCGGAGTCTACAACGATGCACTGCATAGCGAACAGTTTTGGGCGATAGGAGCGAGCGATGGAGGATGGTGGCGGGTTGTGGGGACTGACAGTAATTACTCAGAATCATCTGTGGTGAAGACATATAGAGCAGTATCCACATCCACTCCATGGGCGTTATCCCGTAAGTGCTGCATCCGGATCTGAGCGAAACGAGCAGGCCTCTCCGTGATGATCGATCTTGTTGTAGATAGAAGCGTCCGCGGGCGGTGATTTCAGGAATGCACGCCGGGGGTGTGGGGGACGCCACCGTAACACCAGAGGTTCTGAACACTGCTGTTGCAGCTGTGAATGAGGTTAGTGCTGGGATGCCATCTCGCAGGAAGCGCCCCGTCGCGTACAGGGTTCCTTGGACGAGGCAAAAGATCTGCCATGTTACGCCCTCGGCAACGCAAAAAGAACCAGGAGGAAGTGCCAAACCCTCCTCTTGCTCCTCCCTGCGCTACCATCGCCAGAACCTCATTGATATAAAGCGCCGCGCTCGCATACATCTGCAGTGTACATGGCGAGGAGAGTCCCCGCCGTGTACACCGCCTCTGTACTATGCGACCGAGCCCGACCCTCCATCCCATGGCCACTGATGATCGCCGACATCGTCAGCCAACGGCGCTCCCCTCCTGTAGATGGTGTAAGAACTGAAACATGGATAGGGTATGTGCAAAAAGTCAGAGCCATCCTAGCAGTGAAGAGGAATAGGGGGCACACTTCTCGCACTTGCGAGAGGGAAAGGGTCCGTCAGGCCCTACCCCCGCTCCGGCGGAGACGACGACCAGAGAGGCAATAGAACAGGGGCCGCCAACCCCTGAGCCATGTAACCGACGTTGGTTTTCTGGATTGAGGAGAAGGAGTGTCGGTACTCACCGAGAACATGAATCTTGCCATGCCAGCTCTATGGGATGGTATTGGCCATTGAGTCCCACGATGTACGCTATACGGCGTGAATCGGGCTCACACTGACCAGGGGCACAGGGGCAGTCACTCGACGTCGCTTGTGCTATACATCGCAGATGAGGTACCAATGCCAGATAGACGTGATACACTTCAGAGCGGCACTCCTGCGAGCCACCTATTAGCCAACTCAAGCGACTCCACAGGCTTGTCGTATGGCACCTACAGCGTTTGGATATTGAGTACGGGCACTTTGCGTGTGACGACCATGACGAAGTACGCACCATGTGTCCTGCGCCTGCGATTGTGGCATACGTCAACCCTCCGCCGCTTCTCACGACGCCAGCTGCTTGCCCGTCGACCGTCCACTCCCTCAAAGTGTCCGCACGGAACTCTTCCTGGCCAGTCCACTCCAGCGCAAGCGTCATCCGCTCGTTGCCAATCTGACGCGGCATGTGAGTCCATGTTGCGCACACATCGAATAAGTATTCTCTTACCCAGTTGCAGATGAAGTCGGTGGCGCCGACATAAATGAGGGCACGGACGCCGCGCTCGAGGAGCGCGCCGATGTAGTACTGCGCGGGGAACCCGAAGTGATCGAGGTTAGACCTGAAGGCTTCTTGGACGTCGGGTGAGTCCCAGCTGAAGTTAGTGCGCATCATGGACGAGTCGACGCCAAGCAGCTCCTGCGTGCGCTTGCTGCTAAGGAAATCCCTGATGTGTCTGCGGGGACGGACAGTAGTCAAGATATGTTCAATTTGAGTTAGATGAGGTGTCGTACTTCATAATGGGGTAGCATTCCATGATATCTGCCGCACCCTTGCTGTGATGGCGTTATGGACAACACTTGCAAGCGAAGACAAAAGAAAGTCACCAGGGTCGTGCACGGTCATATTGGTTCAGATCTGGAGTCACCGTGCGCATTTCGCATTCAGATAACAGAAATAATGCATTAGCAGCGTTCCGCTCACCTTTGAAAAGCTCGGACATAGCCGTGTTGCAGAACGACCCCGCGGCTGCGCAGTCGATACTGTCGACCATGTCGATGCAGGACTCCTTGAAACGTTGCTCACAGCGTGGTACCTGTTTATGGAGTCAGCAATTCTCTTGCCACGAATAGTTGACATAGAGAAGCCCGACCAGCTGCTTGATTCGCACACAGTCCCTGAGCTGTAACGTGAACCCAGTGTCCCAGGTGCGCGAGCGCAGAGGACGCACCCCGTACGACTCGCCGGCGAGATGAAGCGCGTGCTCGAAGAAAATGGCCATGAACACGGCGATGTCGTCCGCCGCCTCCATCGTCGTTCCCTGTTCGTCGGAGGTCACTTGTTGAGCACATGGAGACCGAAGCGGCCCTCGACTCACGACAAACTCTCCATGGTCGGCGCAGGAGAAGCCTACGCCGACAGGCTGGTCGACGAAGAATACGTTGGCGTGCTCATTCTAAGACCACGGGTTAGTCTCCGTCGTGTTCGCGCTCGTCGGGCGGCATGGACCTGATTCAACGTCATCAAATAGCCTAGGACCGCCGTAGTGCCATACCGCGAGACGCACCAAGCTCCATGAAGAGGCCCATTGAGGACGACGCTCCAGGACCGCCGTTCGTCCAGAAGACAACGTCGTCTGCGTCGGGGTTACGCCGGCTTTCGAAGAAATAAAAGAAGAGGTGGCGCGCCTCGACGTCGATGTATCCGCTATACGCACTGAAGACGCGTTTGGGTTCAGTTTCGTATCTCATGGCCCCATGGTCGGCATGCGGTTCAGTACTCACCACACCGTACGCGTTTCGTTGCAGAAGTGCGACTGCTTGATCCGCGCGCTATGCCGCGGGAAAGCAGGGTGCGCGAGCAATGTAAAGTCGGTCGTTGAGAGGAGGGATAGATCACCGAGAACCCGGCGTCATACTCGGTGTAGGCGTTTTGGACGAAGACGTGCGAAGCGGATTCCAGTGCCCGTACCACAGCAGACGCAAAGGCTAGGATGGAGAGTACATATCTCAAAACGGTGCTCACCAACATGATGTCGTCGGTCCCTCAGCTGCGTGAGCTGAGGATGAGGGCGTCTTCAACTTGTGCTCAGTGATAAAGGAAGATTGCCATTGGAACTTGGAAGAGGCGCGTCCCAGGTCAATGAGCTGCAAAGATAAAGCTGATAAGTGCTCGAAGTCTTCGGGCTAAAAGACTGCCCCAGTGAGGCTCGAACTCACGACCTTCCGATTGCGTTAGCAGCTTTGCAGCTGGGATAACAGTCGGACGCTGTAACCAACTCAGCCATGGGGCACGTACTGTTTATTGGCTCTTATACATCCTTTTTCCAAACACAGTCCAGTGGCATGTACATGGCCACCGCACGGTCACAGTGACGTGCCAGGAACGTTGAGCAGATCGTTGGCGTCGTCGTCACCGTTGAGCTCGTCGCCGAGAATAGTCTCCTTTCTCGTTCTTCTGCACCTCAAATTTTCCTGAATATCGCTTATCACGACCGCCTGAACCGCGACACTCTCAGAGAGCTCACCTTGATCTTCGAGAAAATATGCCATGTTTGCCACCTGCCAGTGCCCGACTCGGAGGGCCGAAACCACAGTAATAATGCAAAGATCGTCGTCTGCTGAGCCTCGCGGGGAAACAGAGGCGTCATAAGGATGTTTTGACAATCGTACATGTGGTACGGTACCAGTCAAAACATGCACGATATCTGTATTTGCCTCAATATTGTACTAAGCTGACTCGTTCGGCTAGGAAGGTACGTCGACACGCAGGACTATGTATATCGAGATCGCATGCGAGCGAAGGTGCCAGACATCCTACAGAGACATCATACATTCTTTCAGGCTGGCTGAGCATCTCCGGCGTACGCGACATGTATGTCAAAGTGTCACATTGCTGCGTGGATATTGGTCCCATTCCCGTGAGTGAAAAGTATCACATTCTGTCGAGCGAATGTGTACTTGCTCACAAGCCTGAGTGGATCCGTCGTCTCGAGCACTACTAATCAACCATTTATTGTATGTAGAAGGCAGCATCCTGGTTGTGACGCGCCCAGTCATACGCGCCCCCATTCATGCGAACAGGCCATCTGCACACAAATACCCAGGCAGCTGTGCCACGGCCGCGGAGTACGTGAGTATATGAGGGCTCGGATCCATGGTCGACTTGGAACAGCTCACATCTCGCCCAAGCCATGACCAGTGAAATGCCTACCGAACGGAGGGCCGTTTGTCGTTCAAGCCCCGCAATGTTGCGTGAATGGCCTTGAGTGCGTTCGTGGCCGTACCTCCTTTCCGAGACGTGCCCTGACGGGAGAATTTGCCTTAGGACATGGTCGCCAGTGAACACCGACGCCCATGCAGACGGCATAGAAGCCCATACAAGCCAAATCGACGAGCGTCGAGCCCGTAGCTCCCGGCGGTGCGGAGGTCTCTGAGCGGAGGCTTCGGGGCGCACTTATCCGGGAGACTAGAGGCCGTAGACCAGTCCGCGTGGGAACTGGGACCTTGGGCGTACAGTACTCCGCGAACGCGCCGCGTCGCTAATTAAGCCACTGCGCGGTCACGGTCCTCTCTCAAGCGCTCGCCTTCCCTTAAGTTGCAAGCCACAACCGCGTCTGCCTCCTGCCCAACCACAACCACGAACCTGTCGCGTCTCCCTGCGGACCTCGCTCCACTCTCCCTTCACCCCTCCTCCACCTGATTACCTCTTGGACCGTGTATCATGCCGGCTATCCGTTTCAATAACAATAAGGAGAACACTGACCCCTCCCAGGGTACAATTCAGTATGTCTGCGTCCCCGAGGCTCCTGCCCCTCTTTCTGCGACAGGTTACTAACTACCGCTCACAATAGCATCACACCGAATGCTGAAGACAGAGGATGCAACGCGAAAGGGGGGTCCGGCAAGAAGTCATCCAAGGTAGCTAATCCGTGAGTTGCGCTACTTCTCCGTCGTCGCTCGTCAGACATACCTCCATTCACTACAGCGGCCCCTCAGTCAAGCCTAAAAGGGGGCGCCCCTATTCCAAGAACCACCCGGAGCGCGAGAATCGCTTAGAAGACGTGGAGCCTTATCTCCCCATCCTTTGCGAGTGGCCCGCGCATGGAGTCAATTGTCCTGACACCGCAGGTCACAACCCTTGGGAGTGTCCTACCACAAGGCCTTGCGGCACGCTTATTTCACCCACATGCGACTCAGTAGGCGTCCATTTCACAAACGAACACCAGCAAGGCCTCCCGTCAGGAACCACGGAGACACGGTGTCGGATCCCCGATTGCAACGTGAAACCCATACAGCGCTCGTCGCTTGGACGACATATCACGGAGACCCACTACGAGCTCAATAAACTCACGTGCCTTTGGTGCGGCGACAAACAACGTCGCTCAGCATACCATGACCGACATGGCGTGGCCGAGAGGTGTCCCCAGCGGCCCTTGTACATATCCAGGTTGGCATTCGCGGCAACCCCGGACGCATTCAAGCAGGACATGGACGTCCTCCTGGAGCGGGGAGGGAATATCTTGGCGATCGCGGAGCTGCTCTTCGGCGTTGAACAGGACCCGCTGTGGATAGGATGGCTCTTTTGGTCAGCGTATGCAGTCCACATCTTCCAATTCCTTCCCGCCGCTCTCCCGCCATTGCCATCGGCGGCTCCTCCCCTCGCCGCTGGCCCATCACCGCCCGGTCTAGTAGACCAGGAGACGATTCCGACATGAAGTAGTCGGATCCATCGGCTCGATACCCCACCCCTCCTTGCCGGTATAGATTTTGCACGCCACCTCGCGGAGGCATTCCCCGACCCGGTCCTTTCATCCCACTCTCCGGACGTTGAGATTCTTCCTTCTGGCTCTCTCGGCTCGCACGCTGCGGGCCGCTTCCCGTCATTTGCATCCCATCGCTTGCCACCAACCCCCGTACTATTCTACTGCATCTTTGGCGGCGCCACCCCTGCCAGACAAGACAACATCGGGAATATCCAACTCGCATTCATCCAGCGCCCTAAGCGGCCACCACGGCCAGCGCGGGTTTGACGGACTTTTCCCACAACGTCTATACCAGTCGCCGCGCCGCTGCCAGAGCTCTCGATCGACGACGGCATGCTTGCGCTGTCGCGTTGTGCTGTTATGCCCCATGACGTTCTTGAAGGACACAATGCCCCACTGCGTTGCCCTATGTCTACCTTATCCCTTGTTCTGTACATATCACACTAGTCTTCTCGCTGTACCCAATGTTCTCGCGCTACCTCTCTCTCACCCTGTTTCACTGCTCTTTGCTTTACTTACGCTGTAGTCGGATATCCGTTGAACCCTGCTTTGTATATGATCTGTTAGTGGACATTATACGGAATCTATGCCTCCTCCCTGTACAATATTGACTGTCACCATACTCGTGTTTTCCTAGCTTTTACTACTACTTGCTAACCTGACTTGACCTGAAGGGTCACTGCTATCTACTCCTACGAGCATCGGGTACTTACTCTCCTCCACTGTATTGGTACTGTTTTTCCCCTACCTACTGCTGTCTTGAACAAGAGTCTCTTGCAGACATTTGTTCCTTTGTGAGCGAATAATAGTTCCCGGGTTTTCAGTTGCTTTTCCGAGTGACGCAACTTCGCGGCCATGATGATCAAGCGCGTACACCACGATGGAGAGAGTGAAACAGGAACAAACAAACCACGACAGCCTCGCGATCCGGCGCGTCGGTCATCTCGGACGCGGCTCCTTCAGCTCAGTGACCCCGACCTCGACCCGGCCGCTCTCGCTCGTTGCCCATGTCTGGCGCCATCCATCTTTCTGGGAAGTCAACGGATTGTGATGCATCTTCTCATACCCATCTTGTCTATCGCGTTTGCCTCGGTCGTTACTCAGGTAACCGCGACGGACCACGATGTGAACGGCCTCGTGGGTGCGGTACACTTGCCCATACAGCGGCAAAGCGGGGCCCAGAGAGTACGGAAAAGAGGCGGCGCATCCACGGCGGTCGTCGGTGTAGGGGACAACATGGACGTGTGAGTTCTCGTGTAGTGCATTCCGCAACTCATCTCAATCAACTTGCATCTGGCCAGGACGTACAACGTCCTCGTCCAAGTTGGAGGGACATTGACGCCTCTCATCCTCGGTACGCCGTCCATTTCATCATATCTGCTCCTTGGGACAGCATCTGAATAACGCCGCAGATACTGGTTCGTCTGATCTCTGGCTTGTGTCTGATGGGTGCAGAGAGCGATGTCCGGCCACTCGGGTTCCGCTCTATGCACAGGCCGCTCTGAAACCCATCGGCCAAGACGTGTCTTTGCTCTATGGCGACTCCAGGACTGGCACCCACGCATCTGGCCCGATCGGGATGGACACGGTCTCTATAGCTGGTCTATCTGTCCCTGACCAATACTTTGCGGCTATCATCGACACCAACACCACAGTTCTCGACACTGGCTCTGCAGGCATCCTAGGACTCGGCTTCCCTCCGATCAGCGTTATATGGCGACAACTCATTGCTTCGCGTCTCGACCGAATTATGCCCTCTTCACCAGGACGCATTCCCTCTATAGACTCGCGATCTGACCTAGATTCTCGAGGAGAGCGTCGGGACGCCACAAACATACTAGACTCAATCATCGATACATTCTCTACGCTAGGCCCTCTGCTCACTAGGCTGGTCACGCTGAAGGTTCTTGAGCGTCCTCTTGTTGTTACTACCTTGCAACGTGACACTATTTCGTTCTCCGGGAACGATGGCACGCTGTCTCTGGGCGCACTTCCATATGGGATGACAGATGAACAGCTATCGTGGGCCCCCGTGCGCTCCTATTCAGTTATGGAGGGCGGCATTCCTCCGCCTTCCTCGGCTCCGAACGAGGCAAGTGTTGATTTATAACGTTGATAGAGTATCGCTCGTTCTCATATGATCAGCTATAGGTTTATCCACTCCTTTGGGAGATCCCTCTGGACGACATTTATTTTGATGGCACCAAATTGCCTCGCTCTGGTCTCTCTTCTCCTGATATATCGTTATCAGCGTTGATAGACACCGTAAGTTGTACTTCGTTTTTTTTTCAGTAATCCACGGTCTTACATCACGAATAGGGAAACTCGCTCATACGTGGCCCGCAGGACGTGCTCTCCTACATTTACGCACATCTGAGCCTAGATGCTTTCGGCACGTTCGACTGCTCGACTCCGCATAACTTGACGTTCATGATCGGGGGCAAGCCATTCCCCATCGATCCCCGCGACTTCGCGCATCCTGCAGCTATCAACCCCGGGACGGTCTATCCGGACAAGGTGGCACGCTG